TACAAAGTTGATATGGAATCTTTATTTATATTCTTGACCCAATTATATAGATTTGTTAAGGATGAGGGAAGTTTAATAATTTGATGTGGACCTCACCAGTGCTGTTTGTTTTTTTTGGTGTTTTATACTCTTGAATGCTAATTATTTTGCTACACCATTCTCTAATTTATAATAATAGAACACCATTATATTGTGTTCTATTTTTATATTCTTTATTGTGAAAATACAGTAATTTATATAAAAGTGAAGCATCATATTCTGATATTGCTGTTTTGTAAAAACAGCATAGGTATGGTAAGAGGACATTTAGAAACTACCTGCAGATTCTGTAAAGATAGTAATATTTTAGTATACTCACCAGTAAGAGATAACTTAAAAGAATGAAATAATTGATTAAAGAGGATTACTTTATAGCCTAATGTGTACATTTAATCACTATTATAGACATTTAAGTAATTTATTGTTATTTGTAGAGGAGACTAATTTCTCTTTATAAAATTATTCACCATATATACAGTAATTGAAAATTTAAATTAAGATCTTTAAAAATTGTCAGCTTTTTAAAGTAAATAGAATTTACTAAACATTTCTACTTGAAACTGTGATTTCCATAGCTCATGTAAGGTCAGTACTCCATTGGGAAATCATCAGGTATAGAGTCAAATATGCAAAGTTGTTATAGGATTAACTGTAGTACTTGGAAATGTGGTAACAATAGTGCAGTATCTAGCTGTTTTGTGGATACTGTTTGTTTCTTGTAGAAATTAAGTTCATTATAGAAAATTTAGAAAATTTAGTTAGGAGTTTGATACTAGAGAAGTTCACTTAAAAAAATTATTGGTAAAACGTACATAAAATTTACCATTTTAACCATTAAGTGTTCAGTGGTATTAAGTACATTCATATTGTACAACAATCACCATTCAACATGTTGCATCTTCCCAAACTGAAACAACATACCCATTTAAATCCACATCAGATAAATTTACTTTAGGTTTTTTTCTGCCTCCATTTGTTGAAGCAGCTCAGAATTTTAGTTCTTTGTTTTAATCGTTAATATTTAGCTCTTCTACATATGAATTTAATTGGTTACTTGTCTCTCGATATATATTCTAGACAATCCTATTTTGAATTCCTATATGATTATTTCACCTTATTCTAGCTGCTTTGTTTCCAATTGCTAGGTTTTCATCAAAGTTATACACTTTTAATTTATTGCTGCTTTTTTTTTAAGCTGTAAATTGTGGATTAATTAATTAGTTGAAATACTTTGAGGTAATTACAATAAAATTGTTGTCTTCCAAACTGCCAGTCAGAAAAAGGCAACAAGATCAGGAATGACCTATAAATTTAAGACTATACATATAGTTTTATTTCTGTACTCTCCTCCTGAGGCACTTCACAAAATCTCTGCCCCAGCTAGGTGAGCTTAGGTGAGTTTACTCTTTCAGGAATAGGGCCAAACTCCTCTGTCCTTTGAATTTCTTATAAAATGTTGGGTAGAGCTACACAGTCAAGTAGATTTAGATTCACTTTTTTTTTTTTTTAAAGATAAGACTATTTCATAGATTCACAATTTTCATCATGAATCACACATTGCCTATTTTTTCGTTTTGTTTTTTATTTTACCTAAGCTAGTTCAGTGCACTTTATTTATTTGGAGGAAAATTTCCACTGTCATATTTTTACCTAATAAGTTTAAGTGTTTTTGTTTGTTTGTTTGTTTGTTTTTAAGTTAGTATTCTGTGATGAATTGGTGATTGTCACCTTAATTACTTTTAAACATGGGACCATTTACTGCCAATATAAAACTATAGAGACTTCCAGACTAACGGTGACTTTTTTTTTTAAATATGTGGTATTTAAAGCCAGTGTTTTTAATATTCTAGATAAAAATGATCTGAAACATCTAGTACATTCCTTTCAGAGATAAGGATAAGAGATGTCCTGCCCAGCTTTCAACTGGCAAAATTCGGACTAGAATTCTTCTAACATAATTTTATTCTTATGAAAACTAGGTGGCCTCTAGTGGTCAAAATAATACCTTCTATTTTCAAAGGTGTATTTAAAGGGAATTTACTTGTTAATGCCCACAATTTTTTATTTCGTGAATTTTATTTATACAAATAATGAAGATTTAATTATTTTTTTCTCCATTGGTTGATTTATACAGACACAAATCCTTATGTCTGTATTTCCTCCCCTCCTACAGGAGATTGTTGAAAACTTTAAATTTGACTCCTGAAAGGACTCAAGTAAGTAGTATAGTAGTTATTCTTACATTTTTGTGACAAGCCAATAAATTTTAATAATTTAGTGTTATATCTAGTTAAGAAACTATGTAGTATTCTTTAGAATTCTTGTAGTTTAATTTTCTTTCTCATTAATTACAAAATCTTATTTTTACTTATGTTCTCCATTAGTTCATTAATTTATATTTATAATTTTTGCCATCACTTGACACAATATGCTTATTAAATAATTTTCAGGACCTTTAAAAACAATTATTTTTATAATGGACAACAGAATGTATAAAATATTATGCAGTGAAAATATTCGCCCTGCTATACCCCAGCCACTCAGTACTCCCCTGAGACAGGCTCTGTGACATTCTCTTGTTTATACTCCCAGAAGTCTGTGCAGATGCATATATATTTATACCCTGCCTTTTTTTTCCACTAGAAGTGACACCATACTCTACATGTTAATTTGCCCTTTGCTCTTTTTTATTTAGCAGTGTATCTTGGCAATCTTTCTGTATTGTTATATATAGGGTTACTTTTCTTTGAAATGGTTTGCTCAGTATTTCTTTATATGAATATATAACACTTTATTCAATCTATGTCCTCCTCAAGGACATTTTAGGTTGCTTTCTATCTTTGGTGCACATATGCAACTGTACATAGAAGTGGAATTGCCTGGTAAAAGTGTATGTGCATTTAACATTTTTAATAAATATTGCCAAATTGTTCCCAGTTGTACCAAATTATACTTTCTTCATTAATGTATAAGAGTGTTGCTTTTCTTACTCTCTTCAAAGCACTTCATATTTTTGCAGAGCTTTGGGTGAAAATTGGTACTGCATTGTAGTTTTAGTTTTTATCTTCTTTATTTTGAAGAGAGTTGAGCATCTCAAAAGATTGAGCCATTGTTTTTTTTTTTTTTTAAGTGAACTGTCTTCATAGCATATGTCCATTTTTCTTTTGGGTTGTTGATTTTTTCCTGTGATATAATTTCAATTTGCTGCTGTTACTCTTTTTCTGCATTGTGTCTTACGTAGGATAAACCTTACACTTTAGACTGAAACCTTCAATGTGTTCAGTAAAGGTGGGAGAGAAGTAATGTTGACAAACTCTTTAACTTTTAAACTTCCAGCAATTATTGTACCTAATAGACTGGTTACTTTGAAATAACATCATTAATGATATCTGATGACAGACTTAGAATTCAGGTTGATTTATGCATACTGTTAAAAGCTAATTTGTAACTTAAAGAAATTAAGATTTCCCTAGGCATCTTTGGTTAGTTAATTCATTTTAGGGAATCTGTTTGTATTAGAAAATATTAAAGATTTGCTTTTACAGAGAAAATTAAGATTGTTTGTACTATGATAATGTCAAAAAGTACTCTCTTACCTTCCAGCCTTTATGTTTTCCTCAGCCTACATTAACCCAAACTATTAGAATTTTATACTGCCAAAATGAGTTGACCATCCTTTTTCCCCACCCTTATTAGTATTGCATCATAAAGAGCCACCAAAAATCTTTTGACATGTCTTCTCTGAAATATTTTTCTTCACAGATCTGTGGCCTATGCATTTGGACTTGTTGCCCTATTTTCAATGTACAAAAAGAACCCAACTTAGCTAACTTAGTCCCATATTTACTTCTTGCTCATGATCATCCTTCTACACAACAAGACGGTTCACAGTTCTTGGCTCAGAACCTGTTCCATGATTATTTCATGCTCTCCTGGTTCTACCCTGTTAACCATTTATGTCACCTACTCTAGGAGTTGTCAGGGTACTGCCTGTATTTATTTTGTAAATAAAACTTTATTGGAATGTGGCCACACCTATACATTTATGTACATTGCTTATTGCTTCTTTAATATTAAAGCAGCAGAATTGAGTAGTTGTGACAGAAACCTGTGACCTACAAGGCTGAAAATATTTTCTGGTCCTTTACAAAAAAATTTGCCAACCCCTGGTCTATTGTCTTGCCATGTCATATAAAGGACCTTTGGCTGTTTCCTGTACCCTGTTTTCATCTTCTCTCTTGTTTGCCTTGTCTTCTACTTATTCACAGATTCTGTTTTCATCTGGCCCTGTAATGTACTGCATTAGCTTCTACCCAGAATGTGTCAATTCTCAAAGTAGGAGGCCTCTCTGTGCATCCCAGATGTGAAAAATGCTGACAGAACTTTTAATTTCAAGTATTACGAGGTGCCTTTGCATTGAGATAAATTTATAGCATTAAAAACAAAAATTGAGTAGTTTGTTTCAGTGTTTGTTGTTTTTACAGGAATTTTTAATACCTTTTCTCAGTTAAAATCACTATTGAACATAATATAATATGTAAGATCTAAGAATATAGAAAAGCAAAAAAAAAATCATATTGTATAAACCACCCCCAGGACAATTTTAAATAACTTTAAAAATAGATTTTTTAACTATTCCTAAAATGAATCTTTTCTAAATTTTACTATATGAGAATGAAGAAATATTTGTGGTCTTATGGATCTTCCTCCACAATTGATGGAAACAATCTTGTTGAAGCTTTACGTAGCCTTGGAAATCCAAGGAAGGTGGGGCTTGTGTTGTTTTAAAGAAAATTTTAGAATTGGAAGACTTGCCTTAATTCTTTTTTTCTTTTGCTCACTTACATTTTTTTTTCTTTAGTATCTGGAAAAGATTTGCTTTGGAAAGTAATCATTTACTTCTTTATCTTCTCTATCACTTCCTAAAAACATAATTCTCTGGTTTCTTTTTTGTTCTTTAGTGGCTTACAGAAGAGATGAAATGTGGTCTGGGGGACGATATGACTGTGAAAGGCTTCCAAGAGAACGAGTACCTCCTCGAAGTCACCCTGGTGTAAGTTGTTTCTACATGTAATTCAAAACCTAGAGTCTTAAGTGAATTTGGTACACCAAAGCCAGGCCTCTTAACAAAATCTTCAAGTGCCAAAAATATACAAGTCTAGGTTGAAATGTAGATAGATAAAGTTTATCTTTTAAAAATTAAAAGTTTGAAAGCCAACATTCTATTTATGTAGAAAATCCATATTTTATATTTCTTGTTTAAATTTCTAAAATAGAGGGTTTATATTGAATTTAATTAGTGAAAATTTTAGATTTGATAAAGGTCAGACCATCAGTTAAAGTATTTGAGCACTTGTTGGCTGTCACCTATTTCTCTATATTCCTGAAAATGTTTGCAAATTGGTATGAAATTCTGAAGTAAGGGCAGCTCAGGGGCGGCAGGCAGTCCTACTGCTCGTCTCTTTTGTCACTCTGGGAGTTTGGGAATTTTGAACCAGGTCTTTTCTCAAGGAGTGTGCTATTTTGCTTATTCCTATATTCTCAGCACTATATCTAGTACCTGGCACATAATAGGAGCCCAGTATTTTTTGAATGAGTATGTGCACTTTCTCCCTAAAATCCTCTATAAAGACCCAAAGGAGGGTTTGGGGAAGGTCAAGAAGCCATCGGTCTTACAGTTTTGCACAGGCCCATTCTAAGCACCAGGGGATTGGATTTGTGGTCATGGTATATAGATATATTATGGATTCATTGTACACCGTCAAAGAGAACAAGTATTTGTTTATATATTGGTTATTTTTTAACTTACATATTATAAGTAAATCCTTAGATGGGTGATATTATCTTCAAGGTTGTCATTTGACCTAGGTTACAGCTTAAGTTGGGGTTGATCTAAAATGACTTAAGAAGGAAAAAATGAAAAGGCCTACTATATTTCAGAATGAGCAGACTTATTACCACGTCATTTATTTCCAGGTTAATTTATAGACTTTGGTTCTAATCAAAATCTCAATTCAAATTTTTTTTCAACTTGATAAAATTACTTTATCGTTTTACCTAGAACGACTAACAAGTGATGTAGATAAATATAAGACTAATGCAGAGATGAGAAAAGGGATGACATCAAGAAAATAATTTAATTTTTAGAACCCCATCTGCTCAAATTTATGTCCCATTAGGAATTTGTTTTTCAAAGATACTTAAAAGAAGTTTCAGTGTGGATATGTCACCAATTAGATATATAGTTGGGTTTGTTTTAGTTTTCAAATTTGGGGGATTGCCTTTTTTTTCTTTTTTAGTTTTTTTTTTTTTTTTTTGAAATTTAACACATTTACATGGTTCCTAACTGTAAAATAAGGTAATTGAGAGAGGGGATGACTTTCTTTAAATGTTAATTTATTATACTTATACATTTAACTATTGCCTGCTTACAAGTGATGAATTTTATATATTTCCTAATCTTCAAAATAGTACTTACTGTTGAAAGGTACAACATTTATAGAACCTAGTAAAATGTTTTAGATACCATAAAATGTAGGCAGATTTATATACAGAAATATAATTTCAGACAACGATGGGAAATATGATGAAATGGGAGAAGTTGCAATATAAAGTCTTTATTACACCATTCTGCCTTATGTGTGCATGCTATGTTATATTATAGACCATATTGCAGTGGAAGTTGGCTTAAAGAGCTGTTAAGACTGGAAGCAGAGAGAGCCTGCCAAGGGGCTATGCTAGGCAAGGAGCTGTTTAAACAAGCTAGGGAAGAGTGTGTTTTAAGATGGGATAATCAGTTATATATAATATCAGTGTCATAAAGACTAATAAGCATCCTCCAGATCACGTTCGGTCATTATTTGAGTGAGAATAGATTTGAGAAGTTTGTGTCTAATAGCCTTTGTTTTTCTTTGGAGTACGAGGTAGGAAGATCATCTGTTCAAAGTTGAGGAGGTGGAGGGACACTTGAGGCCAGCATTGAAGTTTTGGAATAGCCATTGCAGATATCTCCTGACGAGGGATGTTTAAAAAGACTTGGTGAAGGCCAGTAAATTTGTGAACCATGAATTTTATAGAGGCACAGTCAGCAGGATTATGTGCTTTATTACCTTGGGTGCCCAGTTTAGGAGAGGGGAAAGCAAGTTGTGTTGATTTAGATTGCAGGATGAGTGCTAGACCTAGGGAGATAAGAGTATCGAAGGTTCTGACCCAGAGAATTATTGAGATACTATATTATGTGTTATGGACTGTTTAAGAAAGGAAGTAAGACTGAGAGTGAAAATGGATTGAAAGAAGTAAGGGGCTGAGGGGCAGAAAAGGCTTAGTGAGCTCAAAGACCAGAAAGCTGAGGTACAGCAGAAAGGCAGTTGGTATTTTGGAATGTAGAGTTGCCAAGATGGAACAGTTCTGGGTGATTAAAGTTCAGTATAAGGTGGCGAGAATAGAGGGTGGGTCAAGATAATTGGAGTTGAGGTCCAGAAAACTTTGAAACTAGATTTTTGGATGATTTTGATGCGAGGATCTCAATCCTTGCTGTACATTGAAATCCCCTAGGGAGCACTTATGTACTGATGTTTGAGCCCCATTCCAGATAATTAAGTCATAATTATCTGCAAGTAGGATCTGGACATTAGTGCTGTTTAAAAGTACAACAAGTGATTCTTCTATGCAAGTAAGAAATGCAGATTGCAAGTAAACACTGAAGTCACTGATGATGACGACAGGAGTTGAGGTAAAGATGACAGGTGATAGAAGCCCTTAATGAATGAGGATATTGTGGTGAAATCTAAACAAACTCAAACTTTTTCATTTTATACCAGTTTTGTGTATGTAAATGTGAAACAGATGCTCTTTTCCCTTCGTACAAATAATTTCAACAGCAGTAAGATAGATGTTTTATATCGCAATTGCTTTTAAAATCAGACTAAGCAGTTAAAGGGAAATCTCACTTCAGTTCTCTGGCTGCTTTGTTTCTCCTAGAGATATAGGAGCCTAGATTGCTTTTCTTCATTTGAGAGCATAGAACATGCCCAGACCTTGTACAGGTTCATTTCTCTGTGTTTTTTCCTCTTTTAATTTAATTAGATTGGTCTCTCCATCCCCCAGTTAACCTCTTCTAGTTTATAAATCCTTATGTATTCTCACATTCCCTCTTCCTCAAGATTCAGATATGCTTTCCCCCCGTCTGCCCCCCGCCTCTGGTGAACTAGGCCTTATTTTGTAATTTAGTAATTTAAAGCCTTCTCTTCCCCTCAACATATTATGTCCCTTTGATGGCTCTTGGAGATATACCTTTGCCTTCTATGTTACACCTACCTTTCAGTTAAATAAAGCATAGGCAAAGATTTTTAACATTTTTGTGTCATGGGTCTCTTTAGCAGTCTGGTGAAGCCTATGGATCACTTCTCAGAATGACCTTTTTAAACCTATAAAATAAAATACACAGACTTAAAGGAGACTACTTATGTTTGAATATAATTATTAAACTATTAAAAACCAAATTTGTGATGTAGTAATATATATTTCTTTAGTAGCTCATTAAATATCAAGAGCTAGTGATAGGGGTTTCATTGCTATATTTTCAAAGTAATGATGAATGGAAATGATATTTCAAGATATCTGCAACAGCAGTAACATGATATGAAAATATCTGGTTTCTTTTAGTGCTGAAGCCACAGATATTGCTGTTGCTGTTGTGGTTATTGTTTGTTGCCTACATTTAAGCGAAGAAGTAATTTTATATTCACATCTGATTTCATGGACTCAGTGAATCCTTGAGTTAAACTGTTTGATAAGTGACACTAAAACTAGAAATGTAAATAAGTAAAGTTATAATTTCTGACTTTGGATGTAATAAAGACATAACTATTAAACACTTTCAAATATTTGCTTACAAAGCTGAGATCATCTAATGTTATTTTAAAAACTATCGGTATATCATATTGACATGTACAAGAATGTTCAGAACCAGCATTATTCATGAGAATTCCAAAATGGCAACAGTCCAAAAGTCCAGCAGTGTAGATAAATTAATTGTGCAGTCATGCAACAATGAGAATGAATGGACCTCTGCCAAATGCAATAACATGTATGAACCTCACAAACATAACCCTGAAAGAAAGAAGCCAGACACAGAAGTATATCCTGTGTGTTTTATATAAAGTTTCAAAACAGGCAAAACTAAACAAGAAAGTGATTAATTTTGGAAGACAAAGGTGGCGACTGGGAGAGAGCACAAGAAAGCTTTTGCTTTGCTGGGAATGTTCAGTCTCTTGATTTGGGTGGTAATTACATAATGTGATTAACTTGTGAAAATTTATCCAGGGGTACTTATAATTTATATACTTTTTTGTATGTATGTATGTCATACCTCAATAAAATTTCACATAAAGTTTTGAAAAGGCGTATTATTTTTTTCTAAATATATAACTTTAGTTAATTCTTTAAAAAGTGAGAAGAACCCACTAGCATTTAGTGCCTGGGATGAAGAAAGTTAATGTTCTACTTTATGCAATTTTACTGCATTTCTTTTTTTTATCCTTCTCCCTTTGGCCCATTCATTCCCCATCTGACACATCAGAAATGTATTTGAGGAACTATTCGATATGACATAAAGTATGACATGAAGGGGAAACTTGAGAAGATACCTACTACACTAGTATGACCTCATTAACAAAAGCAGCTATTTTGAGCTTCTAACTTTGATGAACCTGGAAAGGCAGTTGGACACTCACATATTTTGATGCCCATATTAAATCACACTAAATTTGAGTATTGCAAAGCTTATCCTCAATGTACAACTTGACAAATGTAGCAATTATATTTTAGCACTTTACAGCATTTTAAAAATTACTCCTGCATCAATAAGTTACTTTTGTAAGGTGTTTTCACAGAAATTTTTATTTTGTCTTAAACTTGGGTAGATGGGAGATAAAGCCCAAAGAGGTGCACTACAGAGAATCTGCATGTAAGCATACGTACACATTCTTCTATCAGGAGGAAATTGGTTATTGCACAATACCTACATTTAACTTATAATCCCTTATTTTTAAA